AGGAGAAAGGATTCCAGTATGATCACATACCCTTTTTCCCTACCCTCTGTCTCTCACTGGCAAGCACACAAACTTCTTGGCAATTAAAAGGAAAGAAAGAAACAAGAAATGTCAACAAGGTAGGAAAAAGACAAGGTCATGACCTACAAACCAAGAGAAGAAATATTTTAGGCGAGGGATAATTCATCCGATGGGCTATGACAAAATAAAATGAGAGCTAAAAATAAAGCTGTTAGATTTTTCTATATAGAAACCACCAGTAATACAAATAAATTTTTGATGGAATGTTTTTGGTGAAAGGCTCATTAAAATGGGTTCCAAAAAAAAAAAAAAAGAGAGAGAGAGAGAGAAATTAGAGAGAATGGGTACAGATTGCTTTAAAGAGAAGAAAAGTGAGATAGTATCTGGAGAAAGTGGGGTCAGAAAAATGCTAGAGACATGTCCAAGGAAGTCTACGTAATGATAGAGCTAAGGGAAGAAAGGTGTAATTCACAAAGTTAGAATTTCCCACAAGTCCGTTAGAAATCATTCAATTTTCACATAGAAAAGGGCCTGATGAATATACCTTTGAAATTGCTCTGAAAGTAATAGATACAGTTCTGGACTAAGGATGGAAGAGTTTCAACATGTGACTAAAGTCGCTTGAAAAATACATCAGCTGCTTTGAATTAAAAACGTTAATGTACTCACATAATTGGAGCCAGCTATTGCTAACTCAGTGTCCTCTGTGAAAACAAGCTCTGAAAAGGAATCATTTACAATACAATAGAGAGTTGATAAACACTGTCAAAACTTAAAATAGTACACAGCCATAGGCAATGAAGACCTAAACTTCTCCTAGGCCCAGCAGGCTGTCCTGATTTATCCATTCACTACAAGAATTTCAGCCGCAGGCTGGTAGGTAAAGTGGGTGTTAAACGTGCTGGACTCCTACAGAGCCTACCGCAGTTCAAGTCCTGGACCTGGCAGCTTGCTTTCTCACTCCCCCTACCCCCTTATCCCCCCCAATCCACCCATCTTTCACTGGTCAAATTACTCTGCCCCTCATTGGTTAAATTAAAATAAAGTTAAATAATTCTTAAAAAGAAAATTCACCCTCTATGAAGTGGCAATCATATCTGAGACAAAAAAAAAGAAAAAGAAAAAGAAAAAGAAACTCAAAATTTAAGTGAAGAAAAAAAATACCATCTTCAGGTCATCTAATTACAAATTCCAGAGGAAATACCGAGATGAAGATGGGTGGATAAACGGAGTGAAAACTGACAGCCGTTAGCTACTAGCAGAGACATTCAGATTATAAAACCCCAAGGTCTCCAGTATGTATCAAAGCAGCCCACAGCTTGAAACGCCACCCTTCAGAACACCCTCTTTTTCTTACAGTCTTCAAGACCATGAATCAACACCAGCAGTGTGAGGAGCCCTCCTTACACTCCAGAGATCATCATTGCTTCAAGACCTGGAATCAAGGGATCACAGGAAACAGGAAATCAAAGCAAGTGGGCCTCCACAGTTGTTTATACACCTCTTACCTTGTCAGCTGTGGGTGATGATTTATCATTCTAGAAAACCCAACAAACCCTCCACCTAGTATTGGCTTTCTCTCCTCACAGCTGAAATCGTCAGGATCATGATTCAGAAATCCAGAGGGAAAATGTGAAAAAATGTGGTTCTAGACAGCGTCCCCTCCCCACAATGATGCTATCCTCAAACATATGGTATTCCTGAAATGGGATCTTATGCAATATTTGAACTGTCTTGGGAAGACAGGGCTTTGCAAGATGAATTGGGGAGCTGCAAGTGGATAATGCAAAAGAATTATGATTCGATTGACGATATTGTTAATCATGATCACTCTGGAGGCTTATGAAAAACATTAATTCTCTGATCTCACAGTCAGTGATTCTGACCCCATGAGCCAATTACGTGCCCTAACATGTTCCAGATTTTGATACAGGTAAACAAATTTGCTAAACAGTGATCTAAGCTTTGAAAAAAAATTGTTTTCTGCTTCAACGTTGCTTTCCCAAAAGCATTTTATCATGAATGTGTACACCTCCAGGTTGCTGAAGAAAGGCTCCTGAGAGAATTTTGGTCTAGTGAAATCTAGAAATGCAAAACCCTGACAGAAAGAGAGAGATTGTGGTAAGGATATTTATCCTGGCTCGATATTTCAAAGTTACAGAAACCAATCATTATAGACACTCCATCTCAAAAGCATAAGTTTAATAAATAATCTCATAATTTATTATGAGAGGGCAGTTATAGTACTAAGCTCCCACATGCCATAGCGATTTCATCTCTGGACTCCCACATGGCCAGACCTGGTGGCTTGAAACTCATGCCAGGCGCACGTGCGTGTGTGCACAGAATCCTGAGAGGAAAATGGAGGAGGAGGGATTGCAGTGTCGCCATCCCCCTGCAGGAGCAGAGGATAATTTCTTGCTTTCTGTCTCTCCCTCTCTCTGGCAAGCACACATGTCGTATGGCAAAACTCTCTCAATAAATAAATAACATTTTAAAATAATAAATTACCTCTAGAAATCACATGTTACTTGGATTGTCTCATCTTCTATGTGTAAGATACTTGCTGGTGATTATCAATATTAGCTATAGGAATCTCCAAGGCAATGTATTGCTGTAGCAAACAATAACCTTGAGTAAAAGTTCTTCCCACTGAATATTTTTATTATACCTGGGGTGCTACTTCAAAGATACAAAAATAGGATCCAATAAAAAATGATTCTCTACCTATATTTAGGGTCTAGACCAGAGTTTCATAACCTAAGCACTATCAATAGTTTGGGCTAGGGACCAGCAGTTAGTGTAATGGCTATGTTGCTGGACTTCCATGTAGTCGACCACGGTTCGCGTCCCGGACCCGGTGGCTTAAAAAATTCATGCCGGGCACATGTGCATGCATGCACAAGATCTCAAGAGGAGAATGGAGGAGAAGGGATTGTGGTGTGGCCATCGTCTTTGGGGAGTGATTTCTCGCTTTCTGTCTCTCTCTGTCTGGCAAGCACACGCACCCTATAGCAAAAACCTCTCCAAAAAAAAAAACCATTTTGGGCTAATACATAAGTTTTTTCTTTTCAGTTAGTGGTTTTTTTTGTGTTTCTTATATCAAAACATGAAGAGTCTAATCTCATCTGGAAGTCTTATAATTATGCTTTTGAAATTTTAGGTACATAATGACTTGGAATAAAATTTTCAGAATAAGATAAAGTATTTGACCACATGTATATGCAAATGACTATCCAAATATCTCAGTCCTATTTTTTTTCTGTTCTTATCCACTTTTATACAATGTGTTCCTCACAAATCTGTATTTTGTTCATAGCTTTATTATCTCCATGGGGCCAGTAGATGGTGTAGTGGTTATTTGTTCATAAGTTATTCTTTAAAAATTTTTAAAAATTTGTTTTTTATATTTTTTTGCTATAGGGTATGTGCACTCACCAGAGAGAGGAAAGTGAGAAATTACCCCTGGGGGAGAAGGGGGATGGCCTTCTCTTCTATTACTCTTCTTGAGATTGTGGACTGGGACTCAAACCATGGGATTGGCACTGGATCCACTACCTTAACCACCATGCCACCTGCTGGCTTAAACTCATGCCAGGTGCATGTGCATGCATGCCCAAGATCCCAAGAGGAGACTGGAAGAGAAGGGATTGGGCCATGGCCATCCCCTCTAAGTGGTGATTTCTCGCTTTCTGTCTCTGTCTTTCTGACGAGCACACTTGCCCCACAGCAAAAAACCTCTCCAGAAAATAAATAAATATTGAAATCTAATTCTCATAGTTGTAGGAAATGGGAAATCCTCATTCAAATTACTAGGAGAACTTAGTAATTAGGAAGAAATTCTCCAATTAGGAAGAAATTTACTGAAAAGGTAGGGTTTTCATGGACTTTGCTCATTCTTTACTATCGCTGGGACAGTAAATTTAAGTTGCATTTTATAAATTGATTGTTCACTGAGATTGTCGGCAGATTCTTTTGTATTTTCTATACTCACAATTATTCATTTGAGAATAATGACAATTTTATCTTTTATCATTAATGTTGCCTAATTCTCTACCTGGTATCCCCAGCATAATCTTGAATAAACATGTTAAGAGCAAGTATCCTTATCTTACTTCTGATCTCAAAGGGAAAGTTATCAGTATTTTACCATAAAAAGTATGATGATTGATAGGCAGGGTAATTCAATTAAACTTTACCTAATTAAGGACATTTCTTTGAATTGTCTGTTTTTATCATTAATTGATGAAACTTATCAAATACGTTTACTGCATCTATCGAGATGACTATCAATCTGATATTGTAGTGATATATTAGAAAGACTTATCAGTTAGTCCAAATTTCATTATTTTTCTTTCTTGAAAAGTAGAGGAGAAATTACTACACATAGGAAAGTATTGGGGCCAGCAGATGGGATAGCAGTTATGTCGTTGGACTCCCAAATGGCTGATCACGGTTTGAGTCCCAGATCTGGTGGTTTGAAACTCATGCCAGTCATGTGTGTATGTGCATTCAAAATCCCAAGAGGAGTATGGAGGACAAGGGATTTCTATATGGCCATCCCCCCGGAGGGGCAATTTTCCACTTTCCTTCTTACTATCTCTCTCTCAATTTCTTTCTCTCCCTGGTGAACGTACACATCCTAAGGCAAAAACCACTTTTTTTAAATAAGTATTATAAAGTAGAAAACTCAAAAATAGAGAATACGATGGTCTATTATTTTCTAAACTAGATATAAGGAAAATTCTGATTTCATCTTTACACATATTGGAAGGAAGTAAAATGGAGATTAGTTGGAGAATTAGATTACTGTATGCTAACTATTCAGTTGCCACCCAGGATAGATAATGCATCAACCTGTTAACAGAAATGCCATTGTTTCACATTTCACAGTGCCTAGAGACTCAGGACATAATACTTATTTCCGTATTTCGAAGAAAACTTAAGAATTATAAAACTATTTTTTAAAAGTAGCTTTATTTTTACACTTAAAATCTGAGAAGGCTTTTTCCCCCCACCCAAGGAGTTCATAAATATAGGTGGCAGAGCAAGTTTATCATTTAAAAAGATCATGTTGAAATGGTAAAAGATGATATCCATAGGCATAGTCCAATCTCTAAAAGGCAGGGAATCCTCAAGCAGTCAGAGCACCATGGTCTGTAGCTTAATTACTGCACTCCACAGGAAGGGATAAAATTACTGCAATCCAACAAGGAAGAACAGATCCTACAGGGAAGGAAAAAGAAAGTCACAAAGTAGTATTGATGGGAAACTATTAACTAGGTTGAGTATCCCTAATCCAAAAATTCAAAATGATCCAAAATCTAAAACTTTGAGGGACATGACTCAAAAATAAATAAGCAAGCAAGCAAACAAGCATGCATACCTGACTTCATGTGGTAGCTTGGAGCTTGCAATCAAACAGTACAATATAAAATACTGTATAAGATTATCTGTAGGCTATGTGTGTAGGGTGTATATGAAACAAATTCCACGTTTAGACTTGAGCTCCATTTCCAAGATCTCATTGTGCAAATGCCAATATTCCAAAATACAGAAAAATTAAAAATCTAAAACATCTGGTCCCAAGCATCTTGAATAAGAAATATGCAGTCTGTATAACTAAAAACCCATTAAGGCACAACAAAATGAAAATGTGGGAAGAGAAGCCATCAATTTTAAACCCTAGATGCTATTATAATATCGTAATCATTCAAGTATAACAGGTACTATGTGTGTGTATGTATTTTATATATGTATATAATTTGTGTAATTATTAGTAAATGTTTAGATCTGTAGGAGTTCAATATCTCACATTTTAAACTATGAGAGTCAGTTGATATGTGAAAAAAATGAAGGTCTGTCCTGTCATACCAAAGTACAAAAACCTATAGTCTCTTCAAATAATTCTATCGCTCATTTAAGAAAAAATTTTCTCTTTCAAGCATTTGGTTCTTTCAGAACCAAAAAACATATAGAGTTAGTGTATGTGTGTATATATATATGTGTGTGTATATATATATATATATATATATATATACAAAATTACTATTAGTATCTCCATAGGAGTTCATAATACTGGTCCATATTTATGTTATAACTCCAAAAATTTTCTTTTCTGGCTGGAGTGAATTGGTAATTTAAAATAGATATACAGGTTACTATTGCAAGTCTACTGTTTTACATAGGATGATGAGAAATACTAAAATGAAATGTATCCCCAATAACCATAGGAATACATGATTGCAATGATCCTGAACTAAAACCACCAGGGCACAAGGTAGTGTATGTCACCATTTTACTGAATCCTTGCCTTTTTTGATAAATGTACTATAAACATTATTACTAATTCACTATACTCTCACCCAAATGACTCTACCTGATGAATTACCAAGTTTCCAACTTGACATGACATTCAGCATTTCTGTCCCAATGACCTTTGGGCTGCACGGTTATACTCTCTCGTTTTCAATGCCCAAAGTATTGGAAAACCTCTATGAGAAAAGAAATACACACAAATTTAAGCCTTCCATATTAAATTTTTAGGGTTGGGGAAAGGGTTGAGGTATAAGGATTAAAAGCTGAATTAAACAGATTTCTTTGGGTAGTAAGTTACAGAATGCCAAATCAACTACCTTAGGCAAAAGTGAAAATTTATTTTAAAGAATACAAAAAAAAAAATTAAGAGAATGTTAAATATAACTTCCTATTACCCAGCAATTACTATTGAGATCTGAAGCTGATTTCACAGAAGCATCAAATATCAGAAACCCTTAACAAAACAGAAGGATGAAGGAGTCACTAAAATTCTTCCTCCCTCAGTAAACCCAAACCCAAGTGGTCATCTGAGTGAACAGCAGATTTGCATATGAGAGACATGGAAGGATAGAACAGGAGGACAAAGTCTAAGAACATATCCCCCACCATGCGTTGTAGTATGACTAAGTGGTTTCTACACAAGTATCAGAGGTCTGGCTGTTTTTCTTGGATATCACCAAATAATATCTTTCAATTGGAAAGGAGACCCCAAAAAACCAAGATGATAGAATGAAAAACTACAATCAAGACAGTAAACAGGGAGGCTAGGTGGAGGTCAATGGTAGCAGTTGTGTGAAAGAAAGCCTTATCCAGATTGTTTTGGCAGGATTTATGCAATTGGGGTGACTACTCCTTTCTAGGACCTCTTAAAAAATAAAAAGCTCATAAGTTCATCATTTGACATGCACTTCAAAAACATGCAAAAGCATGATTATCTAGCCAGTATTACTAGAAATGGACCATAATTTCACCTTGTAACTATGAAATACTTGTGACTCTCCCGTTTCTTCCTCCTCAGTCATATTCTAACAGCATGATAGGAGAAGCAGCAGGAGAAAATGTACTCAGATTATACTCTCTAAAGCCTTTGGGTCCAGAGTTAGAAGTCTTGAAGAAAGGAAACCCAAACTTCATATAACATTGAAGATAGGGGCCCATTGTGATGATTTTTCATTTGTGAGAAGGCCCAATAAATATTTTATTTAAAGAAAATAATTCTTTAAAAAATTTATATATATATGTGTGTGTGTGTATATATTTTGACCAGAGAGAAACAGATCGAGAGAGAGAGAGAGAGAAAGCCAGCTACCAAGTCCAGGACTCAAACTGTGGTCAGCCATGTGGGAGTTCAATGCCCTCAACCACCACTCCACCTGCCGACCCCACAAAGATATTGTTAAAGAATAAGAAAATCAGATTTCACATAACATAATTAAAGTCAGTGATTATAAGATAAACACAGCCATTTGTTCCTCTGTTTCTGCACAGGTCAGACTGTTCCAAAAAAAAACAGATTGGAATGAAAATGTCATGTGAAGGGAGAACACATATACAACTGGACCCCATGAACAGCTCACCCAGGACTTGACCATAGCAGAGTTGATTCACCCTACAATAAGAAGTTCTTCTATTTCATTATCTCATTGCAAAAGAATCTCTCAAATAAGGAAAAAAAAAAAAAAAAGGACAATTTTGGTTATTAACAAGTCTTGAGTTTTTGTTTGTTTGTTTTTATCTTTTTTGGGGGGGGGTGGGAGAGATGTTTTTTGCTATGAGATTTTTTTTTTTTATTACACACTCACAAGAGAGACAGAGTGACAGAAAGTGAGAATAACCCCTCAGCAGGGATAGGTACAACACAGTCCCTTCTCCTCCATTCTCTTCTCTGGATTTTGGGTACGCGCACACACACCCACACACCCAGAATTAGTTTCAAGCCGCCACATCTGGGACTCAAACCATGGTCGCCCATGTGGGAGTCCAACAACATAACCACTGTGCCATCTGCCGGTCCCATTTGATTGGTTTTTAATTTTGCCAGAGGGTGTATGGGAGAGAAAGCAAGACAGCACACCCCCACCCCCATGGGGAACGATCATGCCACAATCCCTTCTCTTCCATTTTCCCCTCCTTTCTGGACTTTGGGGGCACACATGCATGCATACGCGTGTACAAACACACACACACGAGCTGCTGGGTCTGGGACTCAAACCACAGTGTCAGTCATATGGGATCCAGACACCTTAACCACCATACCATGGGCTGACATACAAGTCTTGAGTTTCATCTGCCACAGTAAATCAACAAAGACTGACTCAGCTCTAGTTTTAAATTTTCAGTGAAATACTGATTTTGAATCTTACCTCCACATTTGCAGACAGGAGGTATGGTTCACACAAGAATTTAAGAACTTAAATTCTTAAGGGACAGTATAGGGGAGTAAATACAGACAAAAACACCCCAGAGAAAGGAAAGTTGCCCAGCAAAGTCTTCTGGTATGATACCTTTGTTAACTGCAGGTTTCAACTCTAAATCACAAACTAAGACTTATCTCCTTGTTCAGAAAATACAATCTACTGTGTTTTTAAAGATCTAATTCACATAACTAAACAAAACACTGTGGACCAAATTTGGTCCAATGCTTAACCTTGGTATACTATTCATGTTTACTCTTACCAGAACACCAAAGACAATGTTAACTACCCTTAATCTCAATAGTCTCCTGCACTTACCGTTGAACATAGCACGATACTGGGATGTAGTAGGTAATATCTAATGCTGCCGGTTCATATGTGATGAAACTTTCAATGATAGTACCTAATGGTTGTTCCTAAACACACAAAAATATAAATTCAGTTATCTTAATTATATGTTTCAAATTCATTTTTACATATGCAGGATATGAAAACAGTCATTTTTATCTTTACCTTATGATACAAAGTAAATATGACTACACGATATAAAAATAAGAGCAGAATGGTAAGATGTCTGTTTTTAGCAGACGTTAATAGCTCCTGACAGTATCAGAAACATTGCACTTGTTTGACAGTTCAGTCTGCATAGGCAATTTATTTTTGTTTTTAAAGAGTTTTTGCCTTAGGGTGCACGTACTCTATGGAGAGAGATGGGGTGGGAGAAAGACAGTAAGAAGTCACTCCCCAGGGTAAATAGCCACACTGCAATCCCATTCTCCTTCCAGGATCTTGGGCACATACATACATACACACACACACACACCACACACGCAGGGTATGATTTTTAAACTACCGGGTCCAGGACTCAAACAACAGTCTGCTATGTGGGAGTCCAGTGACATAACCACTATGCCATCTGCTGGCCCCATAGACTTTTGATCAGAAAATCTGTTTAAATGCCAGGATCTGATTTAGACAGATTGAAATTACCATGAGTGTGAATTTGGGCTAAATATTTGACAAATTCAAAGAAGGTTACATCTTGTTTCTACCTGTAAAATAGAGATAATATAAAGCAGGAGGTGGCAAATTTTTTCTAAAATGGGCCAGAAAATAAATATGTTAGTCTTCGTAGACCATGCTGTCTTTGTCACAAATATTCATCCCGCTTCTGTGGCATAAAAGTAGCCAGGTACAATAACTCAATGAACGTGACTTCGTTTCAGTAAACTGAATTTACAAATATAGGAAGCAGGCTGGATTTGGCTTACTGGCCATAGCTACCAATCAGACATAAGCTATTATTTGAAATAGAAACTATAGTACATTCAACATAAATAAGATCAACACAAATATTCCCAAAGAGGGGCCAGCAGTAAGCACAATGGCTATGTCTCTGAACTCCCATGTAGCTGACCACGGTTCGAGTCCTGGACCCGGTAGCTTAAACTCACACTGGGCGTGTGTGCATGCGTGCCCAAGATCCCAAGAGGAGAATGGAGGAGAAGGGATTGCAACGTGGCCATCCTCCCTGGGGGTGATTTCTCACTTTCTGTTTCTCTGTCTCTCTGGTGAGCACACGTGCCCTATAGCAAAAACCTCCCTCTCTTAAAAAAAAAGTTAAAATATTCCTAAAGAAAAACAGTTTAAATAAGAACTTTGCCCATTCATTCACCTTTTGAGGGTAAATTCCATAGAATGTGCAAACCAATTAGCCTGCATTTAATTACATACTACAATTTAGAGTATTTATATTCTAAAATTGAAAAATATAAGTTACTATAAAAAATGATGGTCCTCTGAGGCCAGCAGATGCTGTAGCAGCTACTTTGTTGGACTCACACATGACCAACTGTGGTTTGAGTCCCGGACCCAGTGACTTGAAACTCACACTGAACACATGCGTGCCCAAGATCCCAGAAGGAGAATGGATTGCAGTGTAGCCATCTCCCCTGAGGGGTGATTTCTCACCTTCCCTTTCACTATTTCTGTCTATCTCTCTTTCACTGGCAAGTGCTTGCACCCTAAGGCAAAAATTTCTACAGAATATCAACAACAAAAAATGAGTCCTCAAATCTTTCACATGCAGATAGTCACTACTTAAACATGATTCATTTTTAAGTATACTATTTAACATGTAGGAATCATGATACTCAAAATTGTTACCTAGTACTTCAGGTTGTGCAAAAACAAATGAAATGCTCATGGTAAGAATTTTTTAGCATTATACAGTACAGTATTTATTACACATTAATGAATTTCTCACACATGGGAATGTATTAGTCCATGTACCTAAGAGTCTCAGAGTAATTTTACATTAGGAATAGATGGCTAATACAACCTAAGTAAGTATCGAATACCTGCTCTTTTCTCTCCCCTGACAACTTCATATCTTCCTATTTTAGTCGGCCATATAGGAGTCCAGCATCTTGACCACCAAACCACTTGTTAGCCTCATTGATTTATTTTCTTATCTTCCAAATAAGTTCTTATTACATCTCATAAACCAACCTTTGTGAATGGCAGTTGAGTTGCCTATCTGCTAAGTTAAGTACTAGCCATATGCTTGGGCATTTTGCGGGGGTAGGGTACTAGAGATACAGTAGTAAAATGATGGGGTCATTCACCTGAAGCCATTAATAGAATTAGCCCACCTGGACCATTTGTACCTAAAGTGAAACAAACACATGTGGTTCCAAAAAAATAAAACTAAATGGTCATCAGTAAACACAGCAACTTTACATGAAGCAAAAACTTTTAAACAGTGAAATGAAAGTTTTCTCGTTACAGAAAAGGTATCTTTCTCTTATTAACAGAGGACCTGTCTAACCTGATATGCCTTGTTTCATTGATGTTTCAAGACAAAAGCAATAACAAACGTGAGGAGGTGTGGCACTGTTTGTCAATAAAATGTTTATGTACCACAGAGAATAGAAAATCACCATCAGAGGCCAAAGAGATATGTTGACAGAAGGTTAATAAAGGAATGCACGGTTTTTAAAATCCCAAATTCTATGTCTTCCCTACTACGGAAAAGAAAGAGGCAAGAATAATCAATATTACATGAGCTATAAAGCCAACTGACAAATTTTAATCGCTGTTTCGATAACTGTTTTTGTAGCCCTTAAGCAAAGCTTATTTGTTAGAATAAAAATTGCTCTTACATTAATCCTGATGCCGCAATAAATAACAAGATAAAGGAACTCAAAGAAATTGTGATCAATTAGGTTGACAGGACAGCCGGTTCCTAAATAGAGTTCATTGGGCTGAACTTGCAGATTAGGCACTATCGGTAATCGTCTCAGCTGGACCTGGAGCCAGGATTCGGTACAGGTTATACGAACTGTTGAAAGAAAATAATACAAAGGAAAAATATCAGAGGACCTACTTACAAACAATAACTCAGGGAGTGTCCAACCTCCTAACTGAGCTGAATCCTCAACTATAGAATGAATGTTTGTTTGTTTTTCTATTTGAGTATTTTTTCCCCACTGTGAGAATAGGGATCAGTTTTTTAATCTCTAGCTGTCTCAGATTCATCAGAATGCAGAAAAACCTTAAGAGCTTCTTCCTCAGAGTCTCTAAGTCAAATATCTCCTCAGTTTTTAAAAAAATAATTCAAATTTCATCAATAGCTTTCATGAATACATTTTAAAAATATTTCCAAGTATAGTTGATATAGATCTAAAATAGAAAGGAAAAGTTTTGATTTTTTGGTTCCACACAATTGGAAAAAATCTATGATGTGCTTCCACTTAAAATTTTATTTAAAATATTTGAGCCAATTAAAACTTAATATACTATGTGAAAATAAAGAATTCTGAAATATGGCAGTATGCCAAATAACTTTTTATGATTGCTAGCTTATCAAATTTTCTTAGTCTTATTTCATTTTCATTACATGTTTATAAAGTTAGTTTTATCATTAGCCCATATTTACAAATGATAAACTTAATGTATCATAAATACTAAATAGCACAGCAGGATTAAAATCTGCAAAAGATATTTAGAGCCTTGACTCTGAGAAGGAATCATTTACAATCAAATACAGCTGTCCATCCTGCAGGACCAGAACACACAGACCTAAGCAACTTTCTCTCCCACTGCAGTTTTTTTTCTTTTTTAACCAGTCACTGCAAGCACTTCACATTCTGCAAAGTTTCAAACCAATCTCCAGAGAAAAGAAAACAAAACCCTAAAAGTATTAAAATAGCAGCCTCTTCATATCAGCTTATAGGGTAGATAATGAAAAAGGAAGTATGGGGTGAAGATGAGCAGATAAAGCTATCTGAATGCAGCCTGGCAGTCATTAGCTACTAGCAGCTGATCACCAGGTTACAAAAAATAAACCCCCAAAGTACGTTTATAAAAGCACCCCCACTGCTTGAAATTGCCACTTCCAGAATTCCTTCTTTTTCTTACAATTCTCTTGACCATGGATCAAGACAAAAAGAGTGAAGAGCACTCCTAATACTCCAGAGATCTTCATGGCTACCGATTCCAAACCAAGGTACCACAGGAAACAGGAAATCGGGCAAAGTGGGCCACTGCTGGTATTTATAGACCCCTTACCTATTCAGCTGTGGGTGATAATTTATCATTCTGGAAAGCACTAAGAACCTCTCCCCATAGTTTTAGCTTTTTGTGCTCACAGCTGAAGTTATCACCGTAAGTCAGAAAATCAGGGGAGAAAATGTGAAAAGTGGTGGCAGACTTTACCCACCACGATTGCATCTTTCCCAAGAATATGGAAGTATCTGAAGTTGTGTTTTACATAATATGTCATTCATCTCTACTGGACTGTTAAACCAGGGATTTACAAGATAACTTGGATGATACAAAATAAACATTTAATTGATTGAAGATGTTGCATACATATTCATTCTCCTTTCTTGTGAAGAACAGCCAGTGCCCTACTTCCCAGTCTATAATTCAGATCCAGTAAGCCTAGGACTAGATTCTCTAATCTGTTCCAGGAGATTTTGATTCAAGTAAAAAAAATCTGCACAATTGTGATCTAAGCTTTGGAAAAACACTACTTTCTGGTTTCTTTTTGCTTTCCCTCGAGGCATTTTACTACGACTGAATGTGTGTATGTATGTACATACACATACATATGCACATACATATGCATACAGTCACATACATATCCAGGGTGCTAAAGGCTTTATAAGGACATTTTTGGACAATTAAACCTAGGGATTAAAAGAAAAAACTTAAGAGAAAAGCATATTAGGGTAATAATATTACCTGTTCCCATATTATGGCAGAAGCAAAGCTCTAGAAAGTTCCATCTCAAAGTGAAAGCCTAATGAGTTTTAGAAATTACATAACATGCCATAACAGATTGCTGCAGCTTCAAAGTGCACAGTAACTGTTGGTGAATAGTGACAAATTTAGCTATATAAATATACAAGATGATGTAATAAAGAACAAGCAAAAGTTACATCGAAGAACATCAGAAAGCTCAAGGTAAAGTTCTATTAAATATTTGCATTACATTGCATGCTCTTTAAAATGAATAGAATTTAATTTAGGTTATGTGTTGGTTAAATTGTTTTTGGAAATGAAGGCCTTCCAGCAGATTAAATTTACAATAACCACGTTGGTGGATTTTATTCAACAATACTATTCCGGTTTTTTTTAATTATTCAAGAAGTGAACATACCATTATTTTAAATAGGTAGCAACATACAAGGACATAAAATACTGAAGTATCTAATTCTTATAAAATTAACAATCTTAAAGTAAATAATTCAGTGGCCTTTAGTATTTTTATGCGTGTGCAATCATTGCCTGCATAGTCCCAAAATACGTTCGCCTTTCTTCCCCCACCAGAAGAGAACCTATATCTGTTAAGAAACTCCCCACTCCTCCCTTTTTCCGTCCCATGGCTTATAACATTTGTTATTTCTTGTTTTTATTATTTTCATTATTACCATCTTAGTGTCGTGAAGACTATTTCATTGTGATTTTTATTTGCATTGTCCTAATGTTGAGCATCTTCTCATGTGCTTGTTGGTGATTTGTAAATCTTCTTTGGAGAAATGTCTACTCAAGTTCTTACTTTTATTTGCATCATCATTTTGTTATTGAGTTATAAAAGTTCTTTATATATTCTGTATACTAGACCTTTTACAGATCATTATTTTCTCCCATTTCATAAGTAGTCATCGAATATCCCACTTTGGATATTTCACAAAAATTTAATCATACAATATGTGACCTTTTATGTATGGATTCTTTCATTTACCATAGTATTTCTGAAGTTTATTCACATCATAACATGTATCAGTACTTCATTTCTTTTGATGACAGAATAATATTACATTGTATAGGTATATCACATTTTTATTATTCTTTCACTGTGCACATTTGAGCTGCTTCAATCTTTTCAATTGTTTCCATCTTTGTGAACAATGCTACCACAAGTGTTCTTGTATGATATTTGTCTGTTTTCAATTCTTTTGTATATGTATTTAGGTTTTCTTCATTTTTTTCATTATATATATTTTTTTCAACTTGCTATAGGGCATGTGTGGTCATGAGCTCGTTGGGGAGAGATAAAGAGAGAGAGAGAAAGTAAGCTACCAAGTTCTGGACTTGAACTGCAGTCGGCCATGTGGGTGGGAGTCCAGCACTTTAACCACCATGCCACCTGTTGGCCTCCATGTGTTTAGGTTTTAATCACCTCATAGTCTCTCCATTGATGAGGGTGCAATTACCAGCCCAGGATTGTGATGATAGCCAAACACATTACACCTGACACTAAACAGATTCTCTTGGGTTAGCAGATCATGTAGAGGTAAGAGCAGCTGAAACCCACAGAGCCAACTCCACAGTTGCAGTCATGGACTTGGCAGCTTGAAAATCATACTGAGTACATGTGCATGCATACCCAAAATCCCAAGAGGAGAATAGATTCATTCAAACAAGCCAATCTAATGAGTTGGTGTTGAGCTAATCTGCTTGTTTGTAGTGTGGCCCTCCCTCCTTGGGCGGTGATTCTCTCTCTGCCTCACTCTGATATTATTTGAAATTATCTATAAAACAATGTTGCAAGTGGGAATTAAGTTCCAAGAGAAACTTTATTTTTATTTTTTATTAATTTTAATTATTATTCATACATTAAAGAGCTATACATCATTTAGATTGTGAAGAGACTTTACCCAGCATGATATACACCTCAATCCAGCCCAGTTGAGACTATTATACACATCCTCATCAACAGATAAAAAACCTAATCTGGGTCCCACAAGTATCTTACCTCTCCATTTTTCCCCCAAATTTATTTTCCTACACTCTTCCCCTCCTACACTCTCTTTCCACTTTGTCTCTAGTGTCCATTACAATTTTTAATGCTTTTATGTTCTCCAGTCTTTCCATCTCTACCATAGAGTGCAGACAGTCAGTATATGTTAAGTGGAGACATACAATGTCTCTCTTTCATAGCCTGATTTGCTTCACACAGCAACAAATCTTCCATATTCATCCACTTTCTATCAAATTCCAGGGCCTTGTTGTTTTTTATGGCTGAATGGTATTCCATGGCGTATATGTGCCATAATTTTTCAGTCCATTTATCTGTTTGTGGGCATTTGGGTTGGTTCCATGTCTTAGCAATTGTAAATAATGCTGCAATGAAAATAGCTGTGCAAGTGCTTTTCTGACTAAGTGCTCTCCTGTCCTTTGGGTAGATACCCAGGAGCGGAATTGCTAGATCATATGATACTTCTATTTGAAGGTCTCTGAGGAACTTCCATATTGTTCTCCACAGTGGCTGGACCAATTTACATTCCCACTGACAGTTTAGGAGTGTCCCCCTTTCACCACATCCTCTCCAGCACTTTTCATTATTTGTTTTTCTAATCTTCACCATTCTGACTGGGGTTAGTTGGTATGTCATTGTAGTTTTGATCTGCATTTCCCTTACAATGAGGAATGTTGAGCATTTTTTCATATGCTTTTTGGCTGTTCTTATATCTTCTTTAGAGAGTTGTTTATTCAGCTCATTTCCCCATCTTTTAATTGGGTTAATCATTTTCTTATAGGTAAGCTGCTTGAGTTCCCTATGTATTCTGGTTATCAGTCCCTTATCTGAGGTACAGTTAAAAAAATTCTCTCCCATTCCAAGAGTTGTCAATTCACACTAATTATGGTGTCCTTTGCTGTGGAGAAACTCCTTAATCTGATGTAATCCCACCTGTCTATTTTGGGGATTATTGACTGTGCTTTGGGGGTCTTGCTTAAGAAGTCTTTGCCTACTGCAATGTCTCCCAGAGTATCCCCAGTGTTTTCCACAAGTAGTTTTATAGTTTGTTGTCTTAGGTTTAGATCTTTGATCCACTTTGACTTGATTTTTGTTAATGGTGACAGATAGAGGTTCAGAATTGTCTTTCTGCAGGTGGGTACCCAGTTTTTCCCAGCACCATTTGCTAAAGAGGTACCCTCTGTCAAAGATGAGTTGGCTGTACATTTTGGGTTGATTTCTGGAGTCTCTACTCTGTTCCATTGGTCCTCATGTCTATTTTTGTGCCAATACCATGCTGTTTTGATTATCACAGCTTTGGGGTCAGGAAGTGAGATGCCACCTACTCCAGTCTTCTTGTGCAGGGTGGCTTTAGCAAAACGGGGTCTTTAATGGTTCCAGGCAAAAATCTATGATTTCTTTTCTAGATCTGTGAAGAATGTCTCTTGTACTTTTATAGATATTGTATTAAACATGTAAATTAATTTGGGTAGGATTGTCATTTTGATTATATTGATTCTGCCAATCCAGGAACATGGGATGTCCTTTCACTTTGTTGTGTCATTATCAATTTCCTTTTTAAGGTTTTCATAGTTTTTTATTGTAGGTCTTTGACTTCCTTGGTTAATTTTATTCCTAAGTATCTTTTGCTTCTGTGGCTATGGTAAACAGAATTACTTTCTTCAGTTCTGTCTCTGTCTGCTTGTTGTTTGTATATAGAAATGCTATAGATTAGTTCTTTATATATTATGTGTACTAGACCTTTTATAGTTATACAACTTGCAAATATTTTCTCCCATTTCATAAGTTGTCTTTTCACTTTCTTGATGGTGTCCTTTGATGTACAAAGTTTTAATTTTGATAAAGTCCAGTTTACCAATTTTTTTTTCTTGTTTGTGATTTTGATGTCATAAGAACTCATTGCCAAATGCAAGGTTATGAAAATTTACCCTTAAGTTATTTAGTTTTACTCTTATATTTAGGTCTTGGCTACATTTTGAATTAATTTTTGTATATGGGAAGAAATAGGAGTTCAATTTTGTTCTTTGCATGTGGATATCTAATTGCCCTAGGAGTATTTGTTTCAAAGATTATTCTCTTCCTTATTTAATGATCTTGGCACTCTTGCCAAATGTAAGTTCATCATAGATGTGTAGGTTTATTTCTGGACTTTTAATTAAGTTCTATTGGCCAGCATATTCATACTCATGCCAATAATTTGGTATTTTGAATACTGTAGATTTGTAGTATGCTTTAAATTGA